GTATTAAGGGCTGCTACGTAAATAGCACTGCATAACCTTAGAAACTATAAACATTCTTAATCTTGCTACTTTGCTCCCAGTCAAGCCAGGAGCCCCCTTCATGACTGTGTGAAAATCACGGACAAAGTATTCTCAAACTGGGAGATCTCACAGACTGCACCAGAAGGAGCCCAACAGACAAGACATGCAATGATGACACTGGACTCTGTGAGGCCCAACCTCCACCCACCAAAACCTCAGCTCCAAAGACAGAGAACAAAGGACAAAAAAGCTGACATCTATATGGATTCCAGATACGCCTTAACAACTTTACATGTCTATGGAGCCATATGTAAAAAGGGGGACTCCGGATGGCTGGAGAAAAATTAAAAGTTAAAAAGATTTACAACTCCTAGATGCTATATGGGGCCCCAAGAAGGTAGCTGTCATGCACTACAGGGGACACCAAAAGACTAGAACATTAAAAGCCAGCAAAAATAAAAAAGCAGACCAGAAGACAAAGCGACCTGCCAAAAGGGGGCCCTAATGGGCTGGGGATTTAGCTCAGTGGCACTGCGCCTGCCTGGCAAGCACAAGGTCCTGAGTTCAATTCCAGGCACCAAACAAAAGGGGTGCCCTGGCCATGCCACTCGGTCCAGAAATCCCTCTTCTGGAAGCCCCAAATTATTCATCAAGGGCAAGAGCCTGGTTTGGCCAGAAGCTAAACAATATATAAAAGGAGTTTGGTAAAAGTTCTCTAATAAGAAGCTGGTTGTCCCTGAGATGTTGGCCCCAGGTTCATAGGTCCAGTCCATCAAAGGTCACATATGGGAAAACAGCACTGGAGATGAAGCTGAGGGCCATTCCTGTGTGCTGTGACTCAGCCATCACTGAGTCAGTGAGCAGTGCTGGCCTGGGCACAGACCAGCCCAAGACAAAGCCCACCTGGCCTCCGGTACCAGGAAATGGGAGCTGCTCCATATGAAACCTACTTACGACTTCACTAAATCTCCTGGGCTGGTAACTGTCAAGACATGTTGGCGCTCACCAGCATCATCTCAAAATAGATGAAAGCCTTCCTTCCCTACTGGAACGAAAGTGACATGAGAGGCGACCAAAGCACTGTGAGAAGACATCATCCCATCATGAAGATTGCTTGTGACCCTGGCGTCCACCATGGACCAGCACTCGTAGCTGAGAGAGATAGTCTAAGACTCACACAGATGTAAAAGATAAAATGCAAGCCTCATACACTTACTGGGCACACAGCTCAGGAAAAATAAAACACATGAAACAGGACATTCACATAATTGATTAAGCCCACCTGAAACGAGATCAAGCCCTCGCCATGGCCCTCCTCCATGTCCAGTTCACCCCACCAAACAGTGAGTTAACAGTGAGTTCACATTATAAAATTTTGTTCAGCCAGCCACCCCAAATCACAGGTCAAATGAAGGATAATCTTCATAAACTAAAAAAATTGTTCCTAAAAAAATACAGGCTTTAAAAATAACCCTGCAAGATATCCACAGCTGGGTTTAAAAAAACAAAAAAACAAACAAACAAAAAAACCATACAAGCTTCACAGACCCAGTACACCCATGCAAACCTGAGAACTCTGGGTCAAAAAAATAATAAAAATAAAATAAAATCCAACAACTCTAGGGCCCATATGAGATGGGCCTCGCATTGTAATCTTGATTATTTCTGCTGTCATTAAAATTACAGGAACTGTGTCCTAGATCTACCATAGCTGGCTAAAGCCAACCACTCAAGACAAACAGACCAGCCAGCAGGATCCAGACCAATGAAGCAGCCAATCCAGCGACCTCAGGCCACCACCAGAGATGACAGCCCTGCTCTGGTCACTCTAGAGGCCGACCAGCCCACACGCAGCTGAACTTAAAGATCAACATAAAGTCACGTAAGTTTCTTGTCCTCTTTGTTATAATTCTCCCTTGCCTCTGACTTCTACCTGTCAAAAACATTCGGTGGGCCATAGGGACTCGGAGACAGACGCACCACTCCTTGACTGATGGCCTTGGCCAGGTACCGACCTCTGTTCAGTAGGCTGTGCTGCCCATCCGTTATGACAAGAATTGATAATGATGATGATGATGATGATGCTCTCTAGTAAAACTTGCTATAGAGAGCATCAAAGAGGGGAATGAAGCAGGACTTAAAGAAAAACAAGTCCTTCCCAGCCTTGGGCAGTTCCCTTCCCCCATCCCCACCACCCCGTCTCCCCTGTAGCTGTAACTCCTTGTTCTAGTACAAATAAAATTGACAACCAAGTCCTGTAAACAAAGTTTATGATACTCTGTTCTCATATGACTCATAAGACACTGTCTTCTTTCAAGGCAAAGTTACAAAACTGTGCCCTTGTCCTGTTCCAGTAAACTCACTTGCTTCCGACAAAATGGACAAAAGCTAAAACTTCTTTGTTCAATGCTCAGCCATTTTGGACACAGAATCTGCTGGGTGCACACCTTAAATAAATCCTGACTCCCCTCTGGTCTCTCCTGTCTCTTGGAATTCTACAACACCGCTGCTGTCACATTCAAGCTGAAAACTGGGGTCCTTCTGCTTAAGCTGTGTGTTCAAAACGCCAGTAAATGTACAAATCTTAGATCAACAGAGAGAAGGGGAAAATGTGAAGAAAATGTTCAAATGGGAAGAATGTGGGGGGCAAGAAAAAAGTGAAAACAGAAGGAAAAAATGGAGGGCTGGGGATTTAGTTCAGTGGTTCTGCCACCTGCCTGGCAAGCACAAGGTCCTGACCGAGTCTGATCCCTGGTACCAAAAAAAAAATCAGAAAATGAAAAAAATGGAAACAAAGCTTTTGTACATAGGGAGGGAGGGAGGCTTGAGGGGAGGGGGGAAACAGAGGCGGGAGGTACTGTGTGCAGGTGCAAATTCCCCATGATGAGTGTTATCATTATGTATGTCTAAAAGTGCCATTAAGTTTTTGCTATAAGTGAGGAAAAATAGACAATAATGAAAATGAAATTGAAAAATTATAACGGAATGCTGTGTATAACTTTTTACTAATACTTTCAAACACCCAGATGAAACACAACAGCTTGCTAAGAAAATACAAATAACCAAAGATGTGAAATGAAATGGTACAATAGCCACAGAAGAAACTAAAACCTGAATAACAGGTATCAGGACAAGATGGTTTTAGAAGTTATATCAAATAGAGATTCTTTTTGGCTAGTGTTTAAGAGACAGAGTCTTGCTCTGTCAGCCAGGCCAGCCCCAAACTCTCAGGCTTGGACCATCCTCCTGCCTTCCCCAACCCTGAGGAGGTGGAGCAGACACACCGCTCCACTTGGCTCTGACTTAACAAATGATTATTCTAGTGACTTTTTCAACTGATCTGCAGTGCAGAAAAACATGGACTATTTCCCAAGTACAAGATAGCACACAAACAAAACATAACACTCAAGATTCACTTGTAGACACAAGAAAGAAAACATTTATGTTCTGCACCGGGTTCACACGAGGAGAGATGTTAATAAAACTCACTGTACAATAAAGAGATTAAAAAGTGGAATACCTGGCCACCTGAGGTAATTACTAAGCACTTGCCAGGAGCCCAAGGGGGAACTTTCAACAGTTTACATCAGGGACTGGTACACAACAGTGCAAGGGCTCCTCTGCCTGCTTTTGTAAATGAAGTTTTATTGGAAGGCAGCCCGGTCCACTCCTTCCAAGGTGACGGGGGTGGCAGGGTTGAGCAGCTGTTGGAGACTGTGTGGCCCTCCCAAGACATTCACCTCTGGGTCCCTTTGCAAAGTTTGCTGACACTTGGTTTACATTATTGACGAAAATCTAAGCACTTCAACACAAGGAAGAAAACCAACCCAGAACCAGCAGGTACAGTTAATGCTTGGGTCCAAATGCACTCAAATCAGGCCGGGTGTGGTGGCGCAGGCCTGAAATCCCAGCACTCGGGAGGCTGAGGCAGGAGGATCGCTGTGAGTTCGAGACCAGCCTGGGCTACACAGTGAGTTCCAGGTCAGTCTCAACTACATAGTGAGACCCTGTCTCAAAAAAATCTGAATAATACGAAGCAAATGTCAGGATGAGGGAAAAAACCCCACACAACTTGTAGAAATGGCTCAACAGTGACTAAGGGAAGAGCCCAAACCAGTAAATGCATAAAAAGCCGGACACTAAAGGCGAGGACTATGAGCCAGTTCGCACTACAGTCCATCTGAAAGAGGATGGTGGTGGTGGCCAAACCTGACAAATGCACCAAGCCTGGGACACCACAAGAGCCAATTTAAGGCCCTCAACACCAAGAAGGGAGCCTGCTCTGAGTGCGGCAGAGGAGGCTTTGCCAGCCGAGCCGACAGGAACAGACAGCTGGGCAGGACAGCACTGCCTCGGCCAGCAGCCGCGCCCACACACTGGCAGACCAGCTGGTTCTCAGAGAGCACCTTGGCACCCTGCGGCCAGGACTACACGACACGCACATCTGATCCTCCGCCAAGACTTCAAGTAGCTTCAACTACCTGGAAGTTCATCGTAGCATCACTACAGGAGCACAGCCAGGCACGGTGGTGCACGCCTATAACCCCAGTGCGTGGGAGGCTGAGGCAGGCCAGCCTGGGCTGCATCGTGAAAGAGAAGCAAAGAAACGACAAAAGATTTCCAGCAATCAGGAGCTGGCTGGACAAACGCTGTCAGCCTGTGTCACCCAGGCTGTGAAGGATGGAGCCGGTGGAGACGCCCTAAGCAGAGCATCCTGCATCAGTGTTTGCAGAGCAAAGTGCGAAGGCCACAGGGTGTGCAGGGTGAGGGGCCACGTGTAAGTGCTGCAGTGCAGGTTCCGACTTTGTGCTTACCTATTCTTTGAAGGTTTTCCCGTGCAAATATGCATCACGTGCATGAAAATAAATGGGGCCCCCAAAGTGACTAAGGTGAAAACCCGCCCTTTCTGCGGCCTTCTGGTGGGGCTCGTGGAGGCTGCCCTGCCCCAGTCAGGGAGCGCGGACCTCGGGGACACTTACTCACAATCTGCCCTGCTGGCCCCTGCTCCCTGGTGTCATTGCGGGAGGATGGCACAGCTGCAGGGAGACCACAAGTCAGCCACGCCGCTCAGCCAGCGGCCCCAGCCCCCAGCTGCCCC